ACACTGTATCACTGTATTTTGCAGGGTATGGTTAGAAATGTTATTGTTTGCTTCCACTACCCTTTGGACTAACATGTCTTTAAATAAATTAACGTAAATAAAATATTGATGTCTGAATGTTATAGCTGGTTAATTATAAGTTCTGCCTAAGTTAACCAGGCTGGTATATTTATATTATATTGGATTAGAGTAGCGAAACCCAATTGTCTGTTTCTTCCTTTATTGAAGAACTATCGATTATACAATTCCTGAGTGTATATCAACTGTAACTTCCACTATTTATGAGTGTGAAGAGAAAGGACGTCGGCTATGTAAATAGACCGTTTAACCACATCCTTTCGATGTGAGATTATGAGTGGGACTTCTATGAGTAGTGACCCATCGAGGGAGAACGGAATAGGCAAGTCGTCCTCCCTCGATGGAAGACGGAACCATCCACGATGGCTCTCAAATAACATCTTCCTCTAGTCAAGGATATCAAACTACTGCCCGATTTAGGTGGCCAGGGAGCCGGCTACTTAATGCCTTAACTCAGCATAATATGACACAGCTTCCCATGGACACACCTTATCACGTGCACTGAACATTTCACCTCATAGCTTGTGGAAAGTTACAGGGGGTGAATCAGTATATAAATCAAATGTAATTAACCCATTTATATAATTCTTCTGTTTATGAAACAGGGGCCTTTACATCGCTCGGTCACCTACCATCCGAGCTCCGCGAGGACTACACTAAACTCGCAGATAAACATCCTATACATAAGCCTAGCCATGTTACAAACATATGTGTAAGCACTAAGCTGGGGACTGTGAAACCATAGGTTCATCAACTACTAGGGTCCTAGACTTAAGTGTCTTACGGGCTAGTATCTCATGTACAATGGCAAAATTGGATGATTCTGACTTAAAACACAAACATTACTGCCAATATCAACACAATAGTGGAATCGTTAACTTGGGTAAGCAAATCATGGAATAACATGGCAGAAATAATCTTCGCCTACTTCGTGTTTAAGAACGCACCTTCATAGCAATGTACAACTTTTGCTACTGTAATCACGCTAGATCAGTGGTTCTCAACCTTTTTCACTCCATTCCCCCTTGAGGAATTTTCAACATCCTCGTGGCCTCCTTCATTTTTCTCCCAAACCCCCCCCATTCGGTCCTATCACCACTTGCAAAGGGATGACACACGGACACGTACTGAACACGTCAGTTCAGCAGCTCGGTCCAGCACCTGTCACATAGACAGGGACTGGACCTGTGAAATCTTAAATAATCTGTAAAAAAAAAAAATTAGCACCAGAGTATGTAAATATTAAAATTGTATTGTCATTATGATTAAACAAAATGACAAAAAACGAATGAAAATTCTCTTCTGCCAAGTCAAAATGAGTAATACAAGTTTTGTTTAATTCAGATTCCCAACATTATTTGGAAACGTACAATTTATAACAGCTCGCTGTGGCTCCCCTAAATTCTTGCCATGGCTTCCTTGGGGGCCATGGCCCCCAGGTTGAGAACCACTGTGCTAGATGAATGAGTGTGTGGTGCTCTAGACTTTCTACGAAACATTCATTTTTGTGGAGAGCAATGGTACTGAGTTGTGAAGGGTTCTACACGGCATGGCTGAAAATTTACAGTCTGTGATACTTTATAGTAGAACTATCATATTTTTTTTTTGAAAAGATGCATATGTGACATCATTAAAATATGTAGTGAAAATTATGAACATTATTATCCTCCCTGGGATCAAAAGAAAATGTCCACATTTTCTATGTCTAAGGTTTGAAAAAGTATTTAGATAAAAACCAAAGAAATAACCTTGTCCATCCATTTACAGGAAATTGATAAAACTTATAGTTAAAATGATTAAAGTATCAATAACTGAACAGGTAAGAAATAATACTGGAAATTATATTACGTCAGTATTTATTAAATAAGTGAGGCACTTATAACACATGATATGACCTACACGATGTACTATCAGTGTGAAGTTATGTTGCGAACATGTAAATGTGTGTATACAGTGAACCCTCACTTTACTCGGTCAATTGAACCCACGGCGGCCTGCGTAAAGTGAGAAACGCTTAAAGTGAACAACATAACATATGGGATTAATTGAAATAGAGACCGGGCCAACCCCTAAACTCCACTTTTTCAGACACAATACCTACGTTGTAGTAAAAATAACTTCTTAATTTTATGATGGTATGCACACACAATTAATAATTAAGAGAAATATCAATAATATTAGGTTTTTTAACACTTACATTAGTAGAAAAGATGGCTGGGCACACGGGGATGGGGGGTCGGTTCCTAGGCAGAGGGCAAATTATTGGCCCTCACCTGTATCACTTGTATCAATTGTATCACTATCCACCACAGAGGCTTGCAGGGCCTCTTTGTCAAACCCCTCAAAGTCCATATAAGTCCATATACTCACTATCATTATCACTATCATTGACTTGGACCGGCTGTGGTGGGTGGCGGGTGAAGAACTCGGTAATGTTTTGATGACTGGGCGACCTTGTGCGCACCCTGCTCGCGCCGCTCTCCCCGTAAAAGGGTACACACACCGCAGAAAGTGAGCATTCCGTGTTCGGCAGGGTACCGCGTAAACGTGGAAACACGTAAAGTGGGACCGCGTAAAGTGAGGGTTGACTGTATATTTAATGTATGCCTAGATACTACCTATTTCTTGTAGGCTTGATTGAAGAATCCCTTCTAGAATTTCTTGAAAACTTGAAAGTGTTGCTGCAATCCCGTAGACTTGCATGTGTCACTCACAGGAGACGCAGCTGATTCCAAGGTCCGGTGACTGGGTCAATGTCCACGAAAATCCTGAGTACAGCAAACTGCCGCTCCCTGTCAGTGAACTTAAGGACTCTGGGGCTCACTGGGTACACTAGTGCATCCACCACACCATACCTCAGAATGTTGAGACCATCTCTCATGATCGGAGATGTGTCATCACTAGGGGAAGGGTGCTGGGGTGCTGGTAACTGGGGATTACTCACGCCATACGAAAGAATTTTGTTGACAGGATGTTGATTGATGAGTAGTCACGTCCTGTCACACCCTGGGCAGTGAACGAATCATTTGCAGAAACTAATGTTCACTTCAGCTCACAGGATCGGTGCCATAATTCAGCAACTATCAATAACTCGGTATTGGTTATCGATATAAAAAAAAGATTTTGCACATCATCTTTGGATGACAAAACGAAAGACACTCAACTATAACTTCTCACAACGGGATATATCACTACACTTGGATATTTCATGTAACAGGTCACTGTTTTTTATTTTTCTTGTTTCGTAAAACACCGATGTAACAGTAGTATAACTTTCTTTGTAAATCCGCTGCCATGTATATAACAAGTCTTCTTCCGTGTAGTGGTAAATGTAACACATATAACAATATCTTTGATTGCTATTTCATATTTACGTTTACGTTCCATAAATGGGTTCTTCTTTTTCACCAGTATGACACAGTAATGGGGAGAACATAATACCTCTACCTTTACCAACTGTGTAAATGGTGAGATGACTGTTAGTGTGATATAACAGTCACTTGTGAAACTGTCATATATGCAACAACCTTCCTGGGTTGTCACCACTTGTAACAATCACTTGAGAAGCTATTTCTGATACACTTCCAGATGTAGATCAACCGTAACTTTCACTATTTATGAGTGTGAAGAGAAAAGACGGCGACTATGTAAATAGACCGTTTAATCACGTCCTTTCGATGTGTGAGGGGTTGAGTAGTAATTTCTATGTGTAGAGACCCATCGAGGGAGAACGGAATAGGCAAGTCGTCCTCCCTCGAGGGAAGACGGAACCATCCACGTTGGCTCTCAAATAACATCTTCCTCTAGTCAAGGATATCAAACTACTGCCCGCTTTAGGTGGCCAGGGAGCCGGCTACTTAATGCCTTAACTCAGCATAATATGACACAGCTTCCCATGGACACACCTTATCACGTGCACTGAACATGTCACCTCATAGCTAGTGGAAAGTTACAGGGGATGAATCAGTATATAAATCAAATGTAATAAATCCATTTATATAATTCTTCTGTTTATGAAACAAGGGCCATTACATGAAAAAAACGAGCTTAACCCTTTCACTACGGTAACATCTAATATTCAATTTGGTTAACGCCAGATGATCTTATTCTGCTCAGAAGCGATACTGTACACAAGGGCTTCAGAAGATAATTTGCCATAGGTTGGAGGTGAAATAAGAGAATGAAGTTTGTATATACAAGTAATCACCGTAAATTCAAGAGGAGAATCCCTGAACTTATTTGAAATTATCCAAAATGTGAGAATACATTGTGAGGTGTCTAACGTGTGTGTTTGTGAGTAGTGTGAGTTGAAAACTATAAAAGTGTGAGTCAGTAAGCCGAACAAGCACACGCTTTCACTTGGGTTTCTTACACAATTTCGTGTTTATTTATTTTTATACTTTTGTTGCCTGTAAATAAACCCTTGGCAGATGAAATTGAGCTATGACCACCGGATGATGATGTACACCAACACATGACTCTTAAACACACACACACACACACACACACACACTGTGCAAACCTAGTTTGGCCTTAGGTAAACTGGATAGTTGTATTAATCTTCAGAGGACCCACTACCATGTTTGAATCTTCCTGTGCACCATCAGACGAAGAAGAAAACAATTAAATCGAAACACTAGCCCCTAGCCACCCGCCACCCCTTCGCATCTCATTCGGGCTTGGGACCAGAAAGGCTGGATTATTATTATTTATTTATTTTTTTAGATGTAAAATCATGCTACTCTATGTGGATAAGAGTACTTTATATCCTAATCAACTACAGTCATTAGTGTGTAAGCTTTCAACCATGCTCAAATTGTCTTGTTAATTTTTTTACGATAACACAACAGCTGGCAACTCATGATTAAACAACATGGCACACGTTTCTTGACTCTTGAGAATTAAGTCAGTTGGCCACCAGGTTTACAAAGTGAAAGACGACGACGAACTGTTCTCATTGACTCCAGAAATTTTTGGAAGAATCAACGGTCATGAGTTTATCAATGTCATCCTTTAAAGATAAGGTATTTACCGAGTTAAAGATATTCTTAATAAATTTTCAGAAAAAAAATAGAAAGGTTTAGTTTCAGAATTTGTGGCCATTGATAACAAATATATTTTTGGTAAAGGGAGACAATAATATTGTTATTCCAAGGCATAATTTAGTATTATAATTTTTGTGAACAGGCGTTCCTATTATTTTCTATCCCAAGCAACAATTATTTTGGCAAGCTTGGGGAGATTTTCAGCTATATATTAATGTATTACCTATGTTAGAATTTTCTAGAATGTTATGATTTACTCACGTAGTGTAAGCCTAGACGTTCTAGAACTTTCCAGGCGTATCTCGTTCCGACCTGCAATGCCTGGATGGCACTAGGATGCTCTGAGTATCGGAAGAGAGGTATATAGGCACCAGCGAGCTGCCTAAAAACCCACTTTATTTCCCACTTCCTAACTTTACCCTCCTCCTCCTACATCGTCTTCCATCTTCAGAGCAAACGGCTCTCTTCTCTCCATCTCATCATCAAGGGAAGTAGTCACCCGTTTCTGCTCAGAGTATGAAGTACAAGCCGAGAGACAGCTAAAGATAATGTACGACCGTGGTCAGTACAGTATGCTCATCAAAGAGGGAGTTGTTTAAAGAAAGCAGGGAAATTCATAAAAGGAGGAAAGGAAAGTTAGATGTAATTGTTTTTTCACTATATTATCTTAGGTTATGGTGATGACCTCAGAGCTGAGAGGATCAGTGTACGCTTCTTGACATGTGGAGTACTAGGTGGAGAGAATACTCTTTTACGCCCTCAACTGCACTTTTCTAGGTGTTCTCATTGTGTATTATTTAAGGAGGAAGACCAGGCACTCAGTAGCTTAGATAGGGGAACTCCGAGGGACTTGAGACGACGGAGAAGGTGGAGGTGAAAGCAGGAAGATAGGACAATTGATCTGATGTGTGCATTTCAATTCAGTTTGTTATATACAGTATTGTGACGCCAAGGAGCTTAGTGGAATTCACATCCTGGATTGTGCTGGGGCCCAATGTAATGAAGGGAAGTAGGATGAGAGGTTGATGAGCATAAACGTGATCTTGGCATGGTTGATGGTGACATGATTGGAGGTGGCCCAATTTTAGAGATTATTCAATATATTCTGGAGGGCGCTCCAGTCAGGATCCACTGACCTATATATGCTGCTGGTGAATGTGATGTATTTCCTTCTTTGTGTACGAACCTCTGTCCTGCGTGGCAGTGAACAGTGGCATTACCCACATGAATCTGACCTATATATAGTGTCAATGAATATGATGCATTCTTTGTGTACGAACCTCTGTCCTGTATGGCAGTGAAAAGTGACATTACCCACATGAATCTGACCGACGTATATGTATGTATGTGTGCGTGTGTGCATGTATATGTACGTGTACATGTATATGTGTATGTATATACGTATATGTATGTATATGTGTGTGTGTACATATATGTATATGTACTGTCAATGAATATGATGCAACTCTTTGTGTACGAACCTCTGTCCTGCATGGCAGTGAACAGTGACATTATCCATATGAACCTGACCTCTATACATTTATAGCTGTTAATGAATATGATGTATTTCTTTGTGTATGAACCTCTGTCCTGCGTGACAGTGAGAAGTGATACCACCCTCAGTGTCAAGACCTGACTGAATTACTCAGAATAGGCAAACTGTACGACAAGCTTTGCCAATAAATTTGTTAAACTAAAAAAAAAGGAGCCGAGTTGTTCACACTGGCTCCAGTGGTGGAATTGTCGACATATTTCCAGTGAATGGGAGATTCTCTCAGGGTATCGTTGATGAGGATGAGGAAGCAAAGTGGCTCCATTCTGGTGCCTTAGGGTACGCCACAGGTGGGAGGTGGATTAAGTTTTCATGTTGCCTAATTACTGAGTATCAATGATAATTATAAAGTAAAGAAAAACATAAAGAGAATAAACATTTATTACACCCACGGGAGTTAGTGTTGGATTGTGGGAGGGGAAGGGTGGAGCAGGAGGAGGATGATGTGGTGTCGGGGATCTCAGCCTCTCCCTACCAGGCCAAGCTGTGAGCTGCATTATTGTTCTTTTTTTAACTCGTAGTTTCGGGTAGATATACATTAATGTTATTCAGTCCTTTTTTACTATTATATGCACACACAATTGTTCATACGGAATAAAAAAATTAAAAATAAATATTATCATGAAGTCAAAATAATAAAGAGAATAATTATTTCTTAAGTTTGCTGGAGTTAGCCCATGATCGTGGGAAGGGGGAGCACGATCCTGTCTCCCGTGTTCTTAGTGAAATGATTGCTAAATGGCTACACAGTATATTTTCTTTTCTTTTATTTATTATCATTGGTTTTATTCATTCATCACATCTGCAGAGGGATAACACTGCCACACTAATCCACGGATACTCTACATTTTCAATGCCGTGATAAGTGAAATGGTATAGATCAAAATCATAGATACCCGGAAACTGAGGACGGGATATTCGTAGTTGGCGAAGGTATACTCAAATGATCTTTGAGGCCCCATTTATCTATTGGCATATATATCTTAATGTTACATATTCAGGGATTTGAATAATTCTTACTTGAAGACTTAATGTAAACAAAATGTCACTAAAAATTTTGTTCTCTGATACGATTTGAAGAGAACATGTGCAATTGTGCTCGGATGACTCATGTAAACAGGATGTTTTATGGACAATGGAGCATAATATGAAGTCTGACTTAGAGATACAGTAACTAACATGTACGATGATGATCAGTACAAGCGATGCTTCAGCAAATTCAACACAGATATTTGCGAGAGCAAATATCTGTGTTGATAAATAAGGATATCTTTGTTTGCGAATTTCACGTTTGTAATGAGGTGTAATGAGTTGATTTATTTATCTCTGTCTTTCAGGGAACAGACAACCAGGCCTTTGAGAGTGACAGCAAGGATGAGGATGTGACACAGCTGGAGTCTCCACCCTCTGGGGCCTCTAACACTCATCTGGAGGTGAGTCGAGTCATACTGCACTTACACTAGTACAGTATGGATATTGATATTGAAACAGTTTATTTAGTCAGAAGAACACAGATACAGAGACGATTAGAAATCATAATATTAACATAGCTGAGCCAGTTGAGAGCCTGAGCTCTCCTGTAGGCACCTGATATAAGCTGTACATTTATCCCAAGGAAGTATTGTGTAACATTTAGTATCATCTGGAATAGTACACATAGCATGGTGGTAATAAGAACATATCAGAATGTTACTACGGTTATCACTTCGATATTTTTGTATTGTATTTATTTATTTTTTATTTATTCTTACATTTCTATTATAAGTGTATACACAATTTACAGTGGAATTGGAAAAAAAACACAAATATGATAAGGAGGGAGGGAGTACAACATGGGTTGTATTAAGGTGGAACAAGAGGACAGAGCTGTCAGGATTATGTTTAGTTGGCAAATATATTTATTGTAATGGTAACTTTGCACACTTGCTAGTAGCACAGTGATATCAATTCATTACTTATAACATCATGTTATTATTGGATGAATAACCGGGAAACGTATACCCTGCCATATGAACTATGATTATGGCTGGTCTACTCACATAGATACACATATTACTTATGTGGGTAGTAATAGAGTAACCTGCTGTCACAGGAATATGTACCAGTATCTCAGTTGTGAGTAGATATTGATGGTTTACTGAAGACTCGTATAACAAACTCTAATACTGGTAATAGCAATATTTCATGGTTTCCATACTCAACCTGAGACAATTATATTTCTGCTAATTCGGAAACATGGGGCAATCTCTCATTTCCATACCCGGAATGGGGAGATTTTCTCGGAATTTTCTTGGAATCTTCCATAAATGGACTAGATGCAATCATTGGAAATTCATTTCCATTTTGAAACAGAAAGGATTTACCCCCAATTTCTCAAAATGGTATATACAAAAATTACAGCTATTGGAGAGCTCCGAGGATCAAAGATTCCGGTTAACAAAGAGATTACTATAACAGTCTATACAAAAATGGTACAGTAGCCAAAAGGATGATAAAATACAATGGACAGAAATTACTTATTACATACAATGATATAGGCAGTGTCATTTAACAAAAACTTCCATTACAAAATAGAAGTAACATAAAACTTATATTGAATACAGCGGTTGGCAGGGGTTGGTCTCTTGGCTTTCTATGTGCGTTCATGTAAATAAAGTGTGCTGAGGCATTGAACAGCAAACATGTGGTGCTGTTGATTATTTATAGGCGATACTAGGAATAATAGCAATGTGTTATTTGTTCATGCCTCCAAAAATAACCATGCAATAGATTGGAATGCAAACCAATTGTTTTGCATTTAGTACAATGATTCGAAGAAACGTAGGATAATGGAATCAATTTGTATACAAAACCATTAAAATTTTAACGTGATTGAGGGCAAGTTAAAGCTGGATCCTGTAATGAGAGCCCTGGTGGTCAGGTCCTTGTCTGTGAATGTGCTACCTGAACTGGTTAAGGGTGATCACCGTGGTGATGGGTTAAAGGAAATGGGGATCAGGTGGGCAACGATTGTCATCAACACGGTCTGAAATAAATATTTCATCTGCCATTGTGGATTTTATATCTTACATTGGTGTTCACATTATGGTGACCTCCAGCTGTACTGTTTAACGCTGATTTCACTGACTTTAAACACTGGCCATCACTGTTCAACAATGATTCCACTCCTTTCCAAATCGAAATTGTCAATTTTGGTGAGAATTTGCTGATATCCCGGCAGAGAGGCAGGGTTTAAGGGAGAGTGGTGGGGTAGGGACACCCAATTAACTCTGGCAGCTGCCAGAGCAGCGTCGATGTGTCCTGTCCCACTGATGGTAAGGAGCAGGGAGAGGCTGAAGGGGCTGGGGGAGGCTGAGGGGCGGGGGGGCCAAGGAGGGCTGAAGGAGCAGGGATGAAGGGGGGGAGGGGCTGAAGGAGCAAGGAGAGGCTGAAGAGCAGGGATAGGCTGAAGGGGGGGAGGCTTAGGGGGCGGGAGGGGGGGCTGAAGGAGCAAGGAGAGGCTGAAGGAGCAGGGATAGGCTGAAGGCCGGGAGGCTTAGGGGGGCGGGGGGGCTGAAGGAGCAAGGAGAGGCTGAAGGAGCAGGGATAGGCTCGGGGGCAGGGGGAAGCTGAAGGACTGGAATAGATAGATGAGTAACGCTAGTGTGGAGGGCCGTGGTCGCCAACCCTCAACTATGATATTTTCCTTCATTAGTGGTAGCGGTAGTGGTGGTGGTGGCGACAATGGTTGCGGCGACAATGGTGGTGACGACAATGGTGGTGGTGACAATGGTGGTGGCGACAGTGGTAGTGGTGGTGGCGATAGTGGTGGTGGTAGTGGTTTTGGCGATAGTTGTGGTAGTGGTAATGCGTCTAGAGTGGCAGCATTATGTTAGTGCTAAGGTGCAAGCACTGTTTGCTTCCTCTCTTTTTCAGCTACCGCCGCTGGCTAGCCCTCGTGGCGAACAGGGAAGCAACTTGCATAAGTCTTCCCCTGCCAATACACAGCCTCTTCACCATCAAGACTCCTGCTGTGCCTCCTCGTGGCAACACACGGTACCTGGGTGCCTCATGGGCCCAGACTAGACCTGCAGGGGATCTCGGAGCAGCAGTGGGCCCCAGAGAGATGGTGCATAGGCCTATTGGCGTGTGGACACGTCCTTGCGCCTACCAACCATTGTCCCGCTGCCTTGCGGATTAACCTTGGTAGGTATAAGGCTACGGGAGTAAACCCTGAACGAAAAATCTGTGGTAGAGCTCCTCATCATGTAGACATGCTTACACAGTGGAAGAGGTGACCACCATGGGAACCCAACGACTATACCGGCGGACGAAAGCAATGCTTGATGGACAGGCTACTCAGGCGAAACCCAATAAACTGGGCTATTGGCAGTCCATTGCAACTCTCCCTATCCCCAGTCGTTGCAACACTTGCACCACTGGATCCGGAAAAGGGAGAGCCAAGATGTGTGTTTGCAGCCTGCGCTCCTGCCTCACCACATAAATCAACTCACGCGCAGCCATCATCCAGCTCATCATACTTCTCATCATCATCAAAACTGCTATACCCCCCAAAAGTCCTATGGCGATGGACACGCAGCGACAGGGACAGGCAGAGATGACTACTGGGAGTCTCTAGCCACAACTCTGCACATGGGCAGCATAAATAAGATGGTCGTTTATGCACTGGAATCTAGGCAGCAATGCAATTCAGTCCTGCCTGTGTGACTGAGCAGCCCTTTCGAGGAGCCACTCTGCTCCCCCACATGTTACCCACTTTCAGTATCTTGGCTCCCACCAGTAAACCACAGCGGACATCGATGAAGAGATTCAACATCGGATCAGATGTGCATCTCAAGCCTTTGGCAGACTCCGTACCCGTGTCTTCAGTTGTAGGGAGCTGAAATTATCTACAAAGTTGCACGTATATCGAGCAGTGGTGCTCCCCACCCTGCTATATGGTAGCGAAACATGGATTGCATACAGGAGGCACCTCAAGGCACTTGAAAACTTTTACCAACGTAGTCTACGTTCCATAACCCGAGGTCGCTGGGAAGACAAGAGAACAACTGCCAGTATTCTCGCTGACACCAACTGTAAGAGCATCGAGTCTACCATAATCCATGAACAACTGCGTTGGACTGGCCATGTTACCTCCATGGACGACCGTAGACTGCCAAAGCAGCTACTTTATAGTCGCCTAACGAATAGTAAACAAAACGCTGGCGGACAATTGAAAAGGTATAAGGATAGTCTTAAGACAAACCTGAAAAGGTACCAAATCGACCCCTCACCTGGGAGACGATTACTCCACACCGTAACGCTTGGAACAGCACCACATGACAAGGTGTCAGTACTTTGGAGTTAGCCTGCTGCATATCGAGGCAGATAAGCGCCAACGCCGGAAAGACGCTGCCGCCGCCCCTCCTGCACTAGATATAGCCCTCCACACGTGCAACATCTGTGGATGACCCTGCCGGTCCCGTATCGGCCTCTGCAGTCACTTCAGAGCTCACCAACGAAGGTAGCGTTCTTGATAACTCACATCATTTTATCACAGCTGGATGATCGTCATATTCAATTCGGAGTGACAGCAAAGTAGTACCTGTAGTAGCACGTGCTCAGAACCAGGTAAAGCGTCAAGACTGCGGTGAATGAGAACGCCCTATCTGAACTATCCCCAAGTGTTATATTAGGCCACATCTAATAATCAATAAATAATAACACAGCAATATACTCCCACATCATGACACTAACCTCACCTAGCCTAACCTAACCTCACCTAGCCTAAGCCTAACCTCACCTAGCCTAACCTAACCTCACCTAGCCTAACCTAACCTACATTAAATACAGGGTAATCTAATACTACCTAACCAAACTAACTGATCAAACCTAACCTAACTTCAACCAACATAATCTAACCTAACTTATCCTATCCTATATAACTGAACCTAAGAATAACACCAGACTTATTACAATGTAAATAAAATGTGAACATACAGGTTAATTACTTTCCCTAATTGTTCACTTAACTGCTGCAAAGTTCTATTCCTTATTGTATAAATAATACAAGAGATGGAAATTCCTATCTCTCATTGCAGTGCTTAGCTATCAGATTGGTGGTGTATGAGTGTGGTAACATGATGACCAGTGGTGTATGAGTGTGGTAATATGATGACCAGTGGTGTATGAGTGTGGTAATATGATGACCAGTGGTGTATGAGTGTGGTAACATGACGACCAGTGGTGTATGAGTGTGGTAACATGATGACCAGTGGTGTATGAGTGTGGTAACATGATGACCAGTGGTGTATGAGTGTGGTAATATGATGACCAGTGGTGTATGAGTGTGGTAACATGATGACCAGTGGTGTATGAGTGTGGTAACATGATGACCAGTGGTGTATGAGTGTGGTAACATGATGACCAGTGGTGTATGAGTGTGGTAACATGATGACCAGTGGTGTATGAGTGTGGTAACATGATGACCAGTGGTGTATGAGTGTGGTAACATGATGACCAGTGGTGTATGAGTGTGGTAACATGATGACCAGTGGTGTATGAGTGTGGTAACATGATGACCAGTGGTGTATGAGTGTGGTAACATGATGACCACTGGTGTATGAGTGTGGTAATATGATGACCAGTGGTGTATGAGTGGTAACATGACGACCAGTGGTATGAGTGTGGTAACATGATGATGAGTGTGGTAACATGATGACAGTGGTGTATGAGTATGGTAACATGACGACCAGTGGTGTATGACATGATGACCAGTGGTGTATGAGTGTGGTAACATGATGACCAGTGGTGTATGAGTGTGGTAACATGATGACCAGTGGTGTATGAGTGGTGTATGAGTGTGGTAACATGATGACCAGTGGTGTATGAGTATGGTAACATGACGACCAGTGGTGTATGAGTGGGTAACATGATGACTAGTGGTGTATGAGTGTGGTAACATGATGACCAGTGGTGTATGAGTATGGTAACATGACGACCAGTGGTGTATGAGTGTGGTAACATGATGACCAGTGGTGTATGAGTATGGTAACATGACGACCAGTGGTGTATGAGTATGGTAACATGACGACCAGTGGTGTATGAGTGTGGTAACATGACGACCAGTGGTGTATGAGTATGGTAACATGACGACCAGTGGTGTATGAGTGTGGTAACATGATGACCAGTGGTGTATGAGTATGGTAACATGACGACCAGTGGTGTATGAGTATGGTAACATGGTGACCAGTGGTGTCAACACATAACGGTTAAATATTATTAAGTGTTTTTTTTCTTGAGGTGGTAGTTGCTTTTCCCAAGATCCCTTCCCACTCTGCCTTTTCTCAGGAGTGGGCGCGGCCTGAGCGGGAGCAGTGGAGCAACTCGAGGGAGTTCCTTTTATCTTGCATCTCCATGGCCGTTGGCATCGGAAATGTGTGGAGATTCCCATTCGTTGCCTTGGAGAATGGTGGAGGGGCGTTTCTCATCCCATATCTCTTGGTCCTCATTTTCATCGGAAAGCCACTCTACTATCTTGAGTTTTGCTTGGGACAATTCGCCTCCTTCGGACCGGTCAAGCTGTGGGAGTTGTCGCCAGCATTCAGAGGTAATAGTTAGCAGACTTGATTTATATATCCCTTGTTTGTTCATAGAGAAAACCCTAGATGATATGTTGTTTGACAAACAGAAGTACTTTAATATAAATGAGAAAGCAGGCGAGCAATTAAATTTACCCTGGATCGATAATCTAATCTAAAATAAAGATCCACGGAAAGAATTTTCCTTTTAAAATATAATTTCAGTCAGCGTGAAGAATGTGTTGTTATTCTTCCATTCACGTTAAATAAACCTTATATTTGAACACAACCACATATGAGTTTTTCTCTCTCCCTTCCACAGGTATTGGCTATGGTCAGGCAGTCTCAACAATGGCAGTTTTGACCTTCTACACCTTCCTGATGGGCCTTTGTGTATTCTTCTTCTTTGCCTCCTTCCATAGTGTGCTGCCATGGTCAATATGTGGTCCATGGGCCTCCAGCAATTGCTTAAACTCCAACACAAACACAACCCTCCTCAACTTCTCCTCCTTTACCACTGCCGCTGAAGAATACTTCAGGTAGGAATACAGTATCCAAGTAGCTGTCATACACATACCATTGTGTGTGTGTATGGGTCTTTGGGGTCAACAATACACTCTTTTGTTTGTTCTGTAGAGATTATGCAGCAGGTACCGATAATAATATGACAACTCATTTTTCATTCATGATGCCTATGATTTTTTTTTTTTTTTGTAAATGCCTTGCCTGTAGTGTTTTTGTCAGTGGTCATATGGCAGTGCTTTAAACCTTTACTGATAAAAGTGTTGTAACTCATCACATAACACCAAGTTTGTCAGTATTTCCTGCCAGATTTGTTGTCACTAATTTTCCAGCAATCCTTGAACCATTTATATTATTTCAAAGCCTTATCAGTTTCTTTGTGGGAAAGCAATAACTCTCTCTAAACCTAAGACTCCAAAACTGGTTGATTTTCCTGCTTGTAATAATCTTCATACTAGGAGATGACTAGAGTTCATAATAAAGGGAAGAAATTCTCTCCCGGAAGGTAGAACAATGTGCTCTTGAGTTCCATAATAAACCTAACCACTGAAACTCTTGGTTATGGGATACTTCAATACTGCACACTACCACAATATCAAACTGAGAGTTCTAACTTTTAGCAATTAGAACTCAATGCTCAATATAAATGCCACTCATAAGACTATATTGCTTGTTATAGAGTTGATTATCACTGCATGTGAATTATTCTACACTTTATTAGTCATTTGGGCCGGCGGTCACATTTCTGTTGCCCATTGTTGGCAAGAAATGGGCATATACTTACTCCAGTGTTGATAAAGTTTGATATTCAATGAGCTCACACTCAGTACTGTCAAAACACTCTCTTAACAGGTTGTTCCAAGACTTTACAACTCTCATTTCAAAAAAGTTTCCCTGACAAGTTTCTGAACTTGTGGTCTTTTCAACCGTAAGCTGTGACCTCTAGTGGGGCGGGCATTTGCCAACTGAGTAGTGCCCTTTGAGACATTTATAAACTTATATTAGTCACCCCTTGACTGCCTATAGTATAATCTAGGCCTAGGCAACTGCAAGTGTTCTAATATCTCTGGGTACCTGAGGTGCCATAGTCTAGGCACCAGCATGGTGACCCTCCTTTAGATGTTTTCAATCACCTGACAGTCTTTAGCATATCTTGGGGACCAGCTGGGATGGCAGTGCTCCAAAAGGGAAGCACCTCACGGGGTACGGACCATCTAGATCAGTGGGCTCTGAAACAATGTGTCACTACCCAAATTTGGGTCGCCGAGTTGTTCAAATGAGTCATAGATGCCGAACTGTTAAATTTATTGTAAAACCGTTCTCATCTTCAATGCCACAAACACTCCACTTCTGATTTCATTTTGCTACTGACCAGTACATACACGGTGTTGCTCATGACAATGGCTGGTTTGTTTTGAATTTTGTTTAAACACTGTTGTGCAATTATGTATGGGGATCAGGTTTTTCTAACTTGCTTTGGATCGTTTCATGCTGTGCCAATTTGGTAGTTATCTCGTTCCTTATTTCTTCTCCATTTTTTTTTATCTTTGTGCTCCTGGATTTTAATATTGTGCTGCACTTGTTTTAACTCAGGGTGGAGAAACATACTTTCAAAGGTACAATTTTAAATCTTGGATTCACTCACAAAACATGACTTTGCAAGTCATCCTGAGGATGGGCAGGCACATTGTCAAGAAGCAAAGCTTAGACCGCTCCTCTGGGGATGCCATGGACTGTCATCTGGTAGTGCCTGACAGCATGCACGAAGACATTGTGGAACCAGTCCTCAAAGATGTCCCGCCAGGACACAGGAAGATGATCCATGGATTTGTGCAGCACTCTTGGCCTCTGCGCATTTCCTACCACCATGGGTTTAATTTTGTGTGTGCCAGCAGCATTGGCACACAGCAGCACTGACACTCGCTGTTTGCTGGCCTTGAGTCCATGGGTGTTGCTTTCCTGCCAGGATGCCAAGATGTTATTGGGCAGGGACTTCCAAAAGACACTTGTAACTTCCGCGTTACATTTCATTGTCACGGGTGTGTTGCAACAACTTCTCTTTAAATGGCTGGACAGTAGCCACATCAGCACTGGCGGCACTCTCGCCAGCTTCTCACCTGTTGGAAATCCCTTGGTACTTATAAAATTTATAGTCACCCAAAGCTCCCATGGAAGTTAAGCACCTCCAGCAGCATAGCTGTACACATCAGTATCCACTGTTTTGCATTTCACGGCACCCATACAAGGTGGGTGAGGCTACCTTCTTCATTAACAGGATGGGGGCAGCCTAGCAAGAACGGCCTGGCTTTCTGCAGGCACCACACACCACCGCCAGCACTTCCCCCTCCACTGCCGCATACCCGGTTTCTGCCGAAGAGAGATGCCGTTGGGACATATGATACGCCTCCTTACCGTTGGTATGCCCCAGGTGCATCCTCTTACACTTCATGACATTGAAACTCAGCAGCCATTTCTTCGACCATTCTTGGAGCTCACAGAGATCCTTCTGCAGCTCTTCACAGTCCGCTTGGTTCTTGATTTCCTGAAATAACTTGGCGTCATCCGCAAACATTTGTATGGAGGAGTGTACAACGTCAGGCATGTAATTTATGAAACAAACAAACAACAGCGGGCCCAATACACTGCCCTGTGGTACCCCGCTTGTGACAGGTACAGATGATTTCGTGCCATTAATCACCACACACTGCTTGCGGTCTTGTAGAAAGTCTTCTATCCACGCTAGGACATTTTTCCGAATTCCGTACCCTTACAGTTTGATTTTCAGCCTTTCGTGCGGTACACTGTCGAAAGCCTTGGCAAAATCTAGGTATATGCTGTCGATATTACTACTCCGTTTAGAATATGGGTCCAAATATTCAATACCTTGAGCAATTGTGTTAAGCTGGAGCGCCCGGGCATAAAACCGTTTGGTAATCCCTTACAAGGTTGTTTCGTAGTATATGTTCCATCGTGGCATCTCTCATAATACTTTCAAGTACTTTACATAATATGCTGGTCAGGCTCACCGGTCTATAGTTGTTTGTGGAGTGACAATCGCCCTTCTTGAAGATAGGACTCACATGAGCCATTTTCCAATCATTGGGGGCCTTTTGTTCATCCAGGCATTTACAAAACAGGATCTTCGGGGACTCTGCAAGCTCGTTGCACAACTCTCTTAGCACTATGGAATGCACCTTGTCAGGGCCGGGACTCTTATGGACTTTAGCTGAGACAATTTACTTCTAATACCCTCTTCTGTGAACACAATGTGGGTCAGTGCTGTGTTGAACCGTCTGTCCTCAAACGCAGGAAGATTAACCGCATCCTCTCTTGTGAACACCAAGGAAAAGAAGCTGTTTAATGCCTCACCTTTCTCCTGGTCAGAATCTGTGTAACTACCATCTTCAAGCCTCAGGTCTGATACTCCTACTCGCGTTTTTAATTTCGACTTTGCATAGCGGTAAAACGCCTTTGGGTTTGACTTGACCTTTGGAACTCCTTTTCAGCCCTTCTGCACTCTGCCTTTGCTTGGTTCCTGGCTCTTGCATACATCCTCCTGTCCTGCTCATCGTTTGACCCAACCCACGTCTTGAATTTCTGTTCTTTTTCTTAACTTTGTTGACCGCCGCATGGTTCATGTGTAGGGATCCCCCTTGTATTCCTAGAAGCACTGGATTTGGTCTTGGGTATATATATTTATCGATCAAATGAGTCACTTTACTAGCTATGATATTCAGCGGAGTGTCTGCGTTCTTGTGCCTTAATGAGTCAGGCCAGTGGATATCCCTCATCTCTTCCCTCATCCCGTTGTAATTTCCCTTGTAATATTTGAACCTTGGCCTGGCCTTTTCTTGAACTAGGTACCAGTTAAATCTGAATATGGTGACTTGTGCCAACTGGGGCAAGATGTTCCAGTTTGGCCACCATACCCTCCTCATTTATTATGATGAGGTCAAGTGGCTTGGGTGTTTGCTTTCTCTGTAATGTGTCGGGTCTCTAACATGTTGGAACAAAAAATTATCTCTCAGAGTTTCTACAAAAAGAGTAGCAGTGTTATTCAAGTCATTTGGGGTGAACTCGTTTCTCCAGTCGGTGTCGCCATAGTTAAAGTCCCCCATGATAAGGAGGTGGCTAGGGTTGAGCATCGCTGGGTTGTCTATTAAGGCTCTTAAGTTCCTTTGATTTAGTGGGCCACAGGTTGGGTGATCTGTAGATACACCCGAAAATAAGTAAATCTTCTCCCTTTAATTTAATTTTACACCACTTGGACTCTTCAAAAACATCCTCTCCCTGTACACTCGCCTGGCTGGCTCCAGCAATATTGAACTCGCATTCCTCTGGGTCGATTCTCCTGTTCTTGCACAACAGTTCTAAAACTCCTACAATATCGGGTTGGTGTACCTTCAGTAGTGTTTCAAACTCCTCTCTCTTATCAAGGAACTTGTTAATATTAGTGTACATGACATCCAAGCCAGAATTTGTTCTCGGTAACGTCTCTGCTCTCCGCCCCCGCCCCCCTCCATTCTCAGAAGCTGCAGCATTTGCTAAGTGCTGTTTATATCATGCATGACCAGTACACAAGATTAGACTTTGTTTTTACATATTTTTTAAATTGTCCTGAATATAAACACATGGGGGGGGGGTAGGAGGTCAGGTGTATGCCAACGATAGCCCAGTGCCTGGGCATTAATAAATCTTCATTAAACAATATTTCTACAACACTGTATTTACTTTACATTTCAGTGTACATTATGCTATATAAACTTATGGTCTGTATTTCTTATCACACTTTTCATAATGGGCTTTATGCATTAGTTATAATAATAATAATAATAATAATAATAATAATAATAATAATAATAATAATAATAATAATAATAATAATAATTCCTGTTCTGGATAATATAAAAATATTTATAATAATAGTAATAATAATAATAATAATAATAATAATAATAATAATAATAATAATAATAATAATAATAATAATAATAATAATAAAAATAATTCTAATTTTATCTTTGTTTCAGGGAGGTGGTGCTACAAGTGGATCCCCTTGGGTTCAATAATGGCATAGGGTTACCAGAGTGGCGTTTGTCACTATGTCTGCTTGCATCTTGGGTGATCATCTTCATAGTGCAAGCAAAGGGTGTACGCAGCTCGGGCAAAGCAGCCTATTTCACTGCCATCTTCCCATACTTGGTGCTCTTTGTCATGCTCGGTCGTGGAGTCACACTGCCAGGTGCCTCCAAGGGCATCCTCTACTTCATCACCCCAAGATGGGAGAAGCTGCTTGAGCCTAGGGTCTGATGTTTCACTCACTTGTTTGTTTCACTGTCTGCATTGTTAATTGACGTGTTGCTTGCTTCTGTGTTCTTTATTGTTTTCTTCGTTGCTTGCCTCCATTTCCTTAATTGCTTGCGTCAATCAATTTCTGCCACATTGCTAGCCTAACTTACCATCTGTGAATGAGTTTAAGTTATCACTATGTACCAGTATTTTGTCAAAATAGCTCAAAATCAGTAGACCAGTTTTACCATGTAAATTCAAAGTAAGGTCAAAGCTGCACTACTTACAACTGAATTTTTTACTTTTCATTACTTTTCCCTCTCTGGGGAAAATAATTTAAGAGGATATAAAATTGCAATACCAAGAATAAAATTCAAACTCTTTCTTTTATTTTCCACCAGGTATGGTATGCTGCTGTGGAGCAGGCACTTTTCAGCTTGACTATTGGGTTCGGTGTGGTGGTGATGCTCGCCTCGTACAACAACTTCCGACACAACGTCTATCGCGATGCTACCATCATCTCCTTTGCTGACACCTTCACCTCTCTCCTGGCTGGTTTCACCATCTTCTCCATCTTAGGACACCTGGCCGAGCTAATGGATGTTGAGGTATCAGAGGTGTTGAAGGGAGGTGGCACAACATTAGCCTTTATCAGCTACCCAGATGCATTGGCCAGGTTCCAGTATGTCCCTCAACTTTTCTCTGCAATGTTTTTCTTGATGCTGTTCACCCTGGGTCTGGGCAGTGCTGTGGCCTACACTGCCACCATTATCACCGTCATTTGTGACCAGTTTCCTCATATAAAAAAATGGAAAGTGACACTCTGGGTGTGCATAGTGGGGTTCTTGGTGGGGCTCTTATACACCACCCCACAAGGACAGCACATTCTCACACTTGTCAACCACTATGCAGGTGTAAGTAGACTGAGCTCCACCTACTTGAATGTAGAATATATGATTGACGCTACATTTAGGGTTTTGAGAAATGACATTTGAGTTGCACTGGAGTAAACTTACAATAATTTTTGTCTATGCAGGGAGTATCAATCATGTTTCTGATGATCCTGCAACTGGTGGCCGTTATGTGGGTATACGGCCTCAAGAAGTTGTTATATGACATCGAGTTCATGTTGCACAGGAAGACAGGACTCTACTGGAAGATTTGCTGGGGTGTCCTCAACCCACTCTTCATCACCATTGTGTTTGTGTTCAGTCAGATTACTGCCAAGCCCCTCACCTATGGTGATTATGTCTTTGGCAATGTAGCCACTGGTAAGATTCTCCATTGCAATATGTAAATGTGAAAGTTTTCATTATTTACAAATTCAATATAATCATTTCTGGTCATTCTGACCACTTGAGATATCTTCATCGTCCACAGTTATGAATGTTTATTTTTCTAGTCAAACAATTGTAGTCACAGGAAACAAATTCTTTCATCTTTTTTCTTAAAAGCGGAAGGACACTAAGGCACATATGAAGTCTAATAAAACACAACAATTGTGGTACATGAAATCAGTGCTTATAGTCACTAGTCTAAGAATAAAACAAAGTACTGTATAGTACACCAATAAAAAATTTCATTTCTGACTTGTAATAGGCAAAGTTATGGAAGCATAAGATGCAAATTACATTCACTGACATTTGGTAGTACAAAGTACTGTATATTTTGTCAAAGACACAAGACCTCTGTAAAGTTTCATTGGTGGGAATGAAAATATCATACAAGGATTATCAAATGGAAAATGTTTAGGAAGGACAGACAGATTTTCTATGAGGTGATAGAACACACAAGTGAACTGAAAAAAATGACTGGTAAATAAACGGACTAATAGATGAAAGAAATATGAACTGACAAACTGACTGGCAACAATTAAAAGATAAGTGGACCTACATATCTAGCAGTACATTACAAGTTTGAAATAATTTTTTTGTAAAGAGATTTACTTGAAATTGCCTGGTTTTCAACAGATCTTTCATCAGTGTTCTCATGTTACAGGATTTGGGATTGGATTGGCAGGGTTTTCTGTGGCAATGGTACCGTTGTTCTTCCTCTTGGAGGTGTGGAATAAGAAGAACACTGCTGGCATCTCTACCCTGTGGGAGGTCATCCAACACACCTTCAAACCTACTTCTGCCTGGTCCCCCATGGATCCAGACCTAAGCAAAGAATATCACCACTTTCTTGCCTCTAAGAAACAGAAAAGTACAGAGGGTAAATAACCAATATCCTTTTGCATTTTGCAACACAAGAGACCCCTACAGTAAAACAGGAGTGAACTTGCTTAGCAGAGTTTGTAGCTAATGTAGTCATAAGTGTACAACAGATTTTACTAATTATTTTTTAAAGCACTATCACTCCTTGAAGTACTGTACATAAAAGAATCCTTGTATAGTATTTTCCATTTATCTATCCACAAATCTATGCAGGGTGATTCACAAAGATGAACAATAAATTGCAGGGCGTATTCCTGGGACAATTCTAGGCCACGATGTATGCAGTATACTACAAGCTTTGTTAATAAATTTGTTAAACTAAAAAAAAACTAAATCAGTAAAAGCATAACATTCACTTGACTTAATACTCTCTATGTGTCTGTTAATAGTTTCTAGTGTGACACATCTCATCACATCGGTGTTTAACATTTGCTTACTACCAACAGGAGTGTAATTAATAGGATCTGATATATCCAGCCAAGGAGGAATGGCATTAATGGGTTCGTCTGGGCTAACGAGCCGAAGGATAAAACAAAAGAGAGTCTTTTGTGGAAGATTAGCGAGATAGTCGGGATTACTTAGATAGAACATCAACTCAGTTTGAGCTGTAGTTTGGGGATCATTGTTCTTCAAAACTTTGACACAAAACATGGTATTAAGTAGAGCTATCCTCTCAGATAGGGAGGGCAGTCCGAGCTCTTTATTCATGCTTACAATTCTGGTTGATTTTGGGCAACCTAGAATGATGCGCATGGCTTCATTTTGCACTACCTCAAGGCTGTTGAGTTGTTTAGGCGGAATAGTCACAAGATGGAGAGCATGATAGTCAACTACAGAACGAATGAAGTGAAGATAGAAAGTACGAGCATAGGTGATGTTAATTCCATAGCCCTTGCCAACAAGGGTTCTGAGGGGCTTAATGCACTGCATTAGTTTGGCACGAAGGTTGCCGACAAAGTTGCATCATTCACACAAATTCCAAGATATTTATAGGAGCTACATAGTTCCAAAGGCATGCTGTTAATGTTAAAGCCAAGAGGCAGAGGGTGAGCAGGACGAGGTTTGAGGACCCTCGTCTTGTCAACAGATATTATGAGACCACATTCCACATTCTTCCGAGCAAATACATCCAGCAAGGCTTGGATCCTGAGCTTAGTCTGTGTCATAATGCAGATATCATCAGCATAGCATATTACTGTACAGCCTCATTTGGCTGAACTGGAATGTCAGCAATAAGCTTGTGCATCAGTATATTAAAGAGCATAGGACTTAACACTCCTCCCTGAGGCGTGCCAAGCACATAATATCTCATTCTGGCACTTTTAACTCCCCTAAACAGAACACTGGCATACCTGTTGGACAGATAACCTTTTATCCATGTCAGGAGGTTACCTTGGATGCCAAAATTAGCTAGTTGCTCAAGTATAATGTCTCTATTAGCTACAACAAAGGCTGATTTAAGGTCTATGAAGGCTGTTTGTGACTTATCTTTTGAGTGAACAAGATATTCTGCCAAGTATGTCTGTGTGCTACGCCCGGGCAAACTGGCTTTTACTGGTGGTTCTGTGCAGACAAACACAGGTAGAACAGGCAGTGCAATTGTAATATATAAATAAAAAGAGATGATAGTGTCAAACAAGCAAAGGCTGAACAACTGGGCCAGCACAACACAAACTGAACTAACTGGAATCTACTTAGCCACAGACTACCTTGAAGGAAATGGAGGTGGGGTGATATTCTGTGACTCTCAAAGTGCTTTGAAATCAATGAACAGCCCGTCAGGCTCTATGTCTAAAGTTGTATGTGATAGTAAAAGATATGTGATAACTGCCAATGAGAACAACTTGTATCGAATTTGTGTGGATTCCGTCCCATGTTGGAATTAGGCACTGTATCATGACCGTGCTGATAGACTGGCCAATGAGGCATGAAAGAAAGAAAATGTTGACCGTGACCTTGGCCTGTCCAATGCTGTACTTAAAAACATTAAAGTCAGAATCATGACCTCTGATCTAGAAGAAGTGAGAAATGCAGAGACCTGGCAGTTTTAGCATTAGTAAATATGACAAATTTTGTGACAAGAGGTACCGGTATGGCCAGCATAAGGACAGAACCAGACAATGTGATGTAGTCGTGGCCAGAATTAGGCTAGGATACAGACACATCTGGCAATTTAGTAACGGTGTACCCATACCGGAACACGCAGCATGTAAACTTTGTGATAAAGCTTTAAAGCATACACTTGAACACTATATTATTGAATGTGACACTGTCAGAGACTTCAGGCCACCTGGCTTATTGTATCATGAGCTTTGTAATTACTACATTGAATCAGGGGTGTTTGAGGACATTCTTGCTGTTTATCCCAAATTTGCTAGCCCAGACTGATTAGTCTTCAATTAGAACCAATGAATATGAACCACTGTCTTGCATGGCAGTGAACAGTGACATCACCCACATGACTCTTACCTATACTGTATATACTGCTTATGAATATGATGTATTTCTTTGTGTACGAACCTCTGCCCTGCATGGCAGTGAACAGTGACATCACTCACATGACTCTGATATATATACTGCTAATGCATATGATGTATTTCTTTGTGTATGAACCTCTGTCCTGCGTGGCAGTGAGAAGTGATACCACCCTCAGTGTCAAGACCTGACTGAATTACTCAGAATAGGCAAACTGTACTCCAAGCTTTGTCAATAAATTTGTTAAACTAAAAAAAATGATAAAACAAACTCTGCCAGCTCCTTGAATGGATAACAATGTGATGCGTCCATGTAGTTATGTACTTCATTCCAAAACAGGACAGTTTGTGAAACTTCATTCCACTTCACAAGATTGAGATCCTTTCACTGACTGTCTGAGTGTCTATACTCATGTAAGTATAATTATATAACTAAAACCGCTAGAAATCCGGCAGATATCATTTAAATCAGCAAAAAAAAAAACACGCCAGCAGCTAGACAGCAAATTTACACGCTAGATGGTGGGTTAAAACATTTAGATTTAGCGGGAAAACCACTAAAATGTCACCACTGTATTTGAAAAGTGCAAGTTGCAACTATTTAGTGAAGCCTGTGAAGGTGCCAGATGCTGTAAGTTATGCCCTGCTTACAACAGCTCTGATGAATTTGTGTTATATATTTAAGCGTACTCATATATTTGCATACATACACAATGCATACATGTATCAACTTAAAGAAAAAAAAAATTAGAGCAAAGTCCAAACGCAGTGTTGCCATATTTCGTGTAGCTCTGGTAACTATATAAACACACACACACAAAATAATAATAAAAGTATGCTCTTAAGTTTAATTGTAAGATTTGCTATTCGATATCAATTTTTAGCGCATGCACCTTATTGCTTGTCACCCAGTTATTGCTTGATCTAAATTATAATGGTTGAAAATAAGTTGTATTTATTAACCTTGGCTCATGAATGTATCTGAGGCTCTGAACCTACTGTTGGACTAGCGTATTACTAACCTTGCTAACAGGAAAGTGATATATTAATAGAATTAGTAAGTGATGATCATAGAAGTACAGTGAGAAAGAAAAATGTCGAAATAGAATAAGTAACTAATATATTATAACAGACAACAAAACACTGCCCTAAAGTTAGATTAACGAAGAAATACACTGGGCGATTCACCTAATATGGTTGAAGCGAAGATGAAAAACAAAAACAATGACACTTTTTTCGTGCATTAGCCCACCCAGGCACAGGTAACTGACCCAGGCACAGGTAACTGACCCAGGCACAGGTAACTGACCCAGGCACAGGTAACTGACCCAGGCACAGGTAACTGACCCAGGCACAGGTAACTGACCCATATCAGGGCCTGGGAGCGAAAATATAATAATAATAATAATAATAATAATAGTAATAATAATAATAATAATAATAATAATAATTTAATAGAAAAAATGTATAATAAAAATATAATAAAAATAATAACCATAAACCAATAAAAAAAATAATAAATCAAGGCGTGAGAAAATATATACAGTATGTATGTTGTGTTGTCAATAGTAAGATAAACAATTGAGACCCTGCAATTGTGTCTAAATGGGGCAGAAAGTCAGATCAGGGTCTACCATTAGACAACACATTATGCTTCCAATATCTTCCCAGGCAGTAAAGTGTACCTCCGTGTTTGGTAGCTGCCTACTCCACTACCTAGGATTAATACTAGTTTACAAGACTTCTGGGTGGGTTTTATTTCCCCTTCTACTGACAGAGGCTACTGGGGAAAAATTATCAAACAAATCTTAAAATAAAAATAAAAGTATTAACGAAAATCATATTACAGGAAGATTAAGTTATTGTTTTCTAGTATTATAAACAGGAATCTCTAATCTCATGAAGTAATTAATTATGATTTCTTCAAACTGTCCGTATTAAGATAGGTAAAATCGAACTATAAGCTTTAGAAACTGAGGCAACAAGTATTAGAATGGAAAATACGACCCGTCCGTCTCTGCGGAGCTTGGAGACTGCCAGAATAAATAATATTCAAATTCTGTAAGAATTTCAGAACAATTTAAATTTAATTCTTGGTTAGTTAAAAGCGTTAAGCATTTATGGAGAAATTGTAAATATGATACCGTAAACTATTTCTGTATCTGGTATATCTTTATGTTTATATCTTCTCGTGTAACGAAAATAACATTATGAGAGGTACTCAATAAATGAAACTTTTCGATGGAATTTTAATTATAAAGTAGGTCTTGATAATACCATGACTAGCTGAGATGTTAAGTGAGGACTAATAAGCTGATAAGTAGTGTGTTTGGCGGGAAGTTGAGTAAAACTAGTTTGACCCCGCGAAACTGGGACCACGGAGAAGCCGACGGATGGACGCCATTTGTATATCCTGGGATAACAAGCGTCACTCTAAGGTAAAAGTTAAGTATAACCGGCGCTGTTGTTTGGTTAATGTATACTCCTGGTGTTGTATAGTGTTTGAAGAAGAGAGAGATAGGGAGGTTGATGTATGGTATGGTGTTGCAGGTGTGAGGGAGACCACAACAAGAGAGTAGCGTCACTGGCTGCCCCTAAACATGGCCGACGTTGATATTGATCTCTACGGCGACGTGGAACAAGACTTTACTCAGGTCAGATACCTTTATTAACCATCATGTATCTTAATTAATTTTCAGATATTTTTTTTTCTTCGTTGAGATATGGTATAGGCTTTCCGTTGGCAGAGGCTGTCAGTGACCAATCTTGCCAGCATGGGGGTGAACTGATGCCTCAATCCATTTTACTATTGTAGATATATTAACTATCAGTACAGGTATTATAATTTGCTGTTTAGTATTCTAGATCAACTAAGTGGTCCGATCAAACTAGAATCTTAATTTAGAGGTTTGGTTGGTTTTATAAGAACTTCATAGCAAAAATAATGAGTACTATATTTGATAAGTGGCTTTGGGTAAAATATTCACTGCCTTCATTTATATTTGTTTTGTGTACTTTCTTTTAGTTGGGTCTTAAGGATACCACCATGGGAAGCTGGTCTCTTACATCAATACAATTACATGTACCGGTACTTTATGTACTGTAAAACTTGGTAATGTCTGAGAACAGCACTACCACCAGAAGGAGTTGTTAGATTTCGTTAATTTTTCCCACAGATGTTCTTATTTTAGGAAGTATTTTAAGAAACGGCATTTAATAGAACCTGACCTAACCAACCAAAGAAATCTAGCTAATCTTACCTAACTTACAAGCTGCCTGCCATATTAAACAAAAAGTACTTACTGTATATTGATATCTGATGCTGACGAGAGGAACTTTGTTTATGCGTCATGGCTTTTTATTTTTTTATTTATTTTTGACGTGTGTGTACAAACGGACCAAGGGGGTCGGTTATATACAAATAAACGACGCGGTGACTTGGCATATTTTTAGAGGAGTATTTACGGTAAATAATTAATTTCACGTACAAAGCATATAGCCATCATTTTAGTGTCATATGAGCAGTTTTCACTGTTTTACCCTGCAATTTCCCTCATCCTCCATGCCCTACCCACTACAGGTGATTTATTATTGGAGGTAGAGAAAAACTAAAAAATAAATCTTATAATTAAAATAAAAAGTTGTCACCTCTTCTGTTTTACTTACTGTAGTGATAACTTCTGTGAAAAAAAGAAAAAATTCGAACAACTCCTTTTTGTGGTAGTGCTGCTCTCAGAAATTACCAAACTTAAGTAAATGGGTACTGCACGATTGTTTAAAATCATGGTAACTATTTGGTATGACCAAGTACGGAACTCTCTTGATTTGTATACAGGGAGATGAGAAAAAATGCTTTGTAGCATTTTTGTCAGAAATTTGGGTAAATATTCGTTTTGGCACCCAGTTAAGTTTGGCGAGAAGGAAACTTTATATTTTGGGTAATTTTGATGTGCTGAACATGAATCGGCTATTTTTTCTCATGCTAATGCATAATATTCTAGAAGCTGTGGAAAATAACGTAGAAACCGAACACAACATTACAAGGGAGTACCCTTACCTTAGTTCTGTTTGCTGTGAGGGTAAAGATTTGCAATAGCTTGAAGGAAGTGGTGCAGTGGTTTCTTTTCATCAGAAAATTCAGAAAGGAACAAATACTGGGCAAAATACTTCTAGTAATGATGACCTGTACCTCCTGTTACCAGCATGAAGAACCCATGTCTTAATAACAGCGTTATATTAATTTGTACTGTATAAGAAATGACAGTTAATTCCATATAAGCCGATCACAGTGTGCTATTCAATTTTTAAAGGTTTGACTGGCCGCCAAAACGAATATTATCTGAAATTCTTATTTTTTATTTATTTTTTACATTTCGATTACACTTAAAAAATATATATATATATTTGATCACACACAGTGGGCAGGGCTTTAAAGTAGAGGAAATTTTGGGCTAAAACACACAAAACGTCAACAAAAGCTAACCTTACTCTTACAGACATCTTTAAAAACTGCCAAAGTGCATAGACAACAGCGTGTGAAATCATTATATTGTACACAATAGTATTCTCATGATTTGTAAATTAAAAATGTACTTCTTGCAAAGAGAATGGTTTTGGTTAATGTTTGGTAGTGACCAAGCAGGGACCTGTATATTGTTTGTATATAGGGAGATAAAGAAATTTTTTTTCCTCCGTAGTGTTTTTGTTGGAAATTTGTATTTTTCACGTTTTTCTGACTTCAATATCAGGTTTGGTTCTTTAGGTTCCTTTGTTTTCCTTTGCCTTGTTGGGTTAGGTTAGGTTAGGTTTACATCGAGAGGTTAGGTCAAGTCCTTCTGGTTTCTCTGGTTAAGTTAGACATGTACATTATACCTGTACTGTATTGATATTTGAGTTGTAAGGTTTAGTTGTATATTTTTTTTTTGTCAAAAATTTGTTTCCTCTACCATTTTTGGGATGGTCTTGATAAACCAAAGAACTTTTGAAGAGGCTATGGTACAAGGCATGCACAACAGTATCGGTTACAGCACAAATGAAATAAACGTAACCCAAAGGGTAAGGCTCACTGAAGCCTAGTATGGAAAGTGTACTTAAAAAAATTACACGTTGGTTTATACGATTACAGTACGGGGTACAGTGTATCCGATACTGTACATATAAACAAAAACTGTCTTACCACAAGTTTGCTGCTTAATAATTATGGCAGATTATCACATTGAAAATGCACATGAATAACAGTAAGTTAGAAGTTTACATTTGGGAGGCCAATGAGAGTTACCGAATATAACCAATTACAAACCTCACCCAAGATCAATTGGATAGGTTAGTTATGTTAACATGTTTTGATGCATAGAATACAAAACCATTGGAGGAAACGGAAAAAACTTTTGGGTTGACAAAATCGTCTTCATACTGTTCTGTGGCAGTAATCGGACAGTTATGTGACGGTTCTTGTCGCTGTCATAGCACCGATGTTATGGAGGCTACATCCCATTACTGTACAGTGCTTTAAGTAAACTCTTAGGTGTTTGTGTTCTTGTTAGTCCATCTGGTTCATGTTTTGTATATAAGTATTATATTAACATTTTGTGAAAATCTTGGAAGAAAACTAATCGTTAATAATTCTATGGCGACAAATTAAACAGTTACACCAAACTCAAGATATAATTGTGTCTTTTCATGTTTAATATATATTTTATCATTTATTTAACTACCTTACAAGTCAAAAGCACCGCTTATTATTTTGTTGGGTTACCTTTACATTTGTGTACTGGTAGCTAGTCTATCCTCTGAAATTAATACTACACATCATTATGTGAAGCATTATGAAGTTTGACCATAAAGTATTTACTGGTGTCTTTGGCCTCACTATATTTCTGGCTCTAATCTTATGTTTCTAATTTCATTTGTCTTGAATAGGTGCAGTTGAATGCAGTGCTTGCCACATTGCCTCCTTATATGCTGAAGGTTTAGCATTCTCTCTTTTGTATCCTCATATCCCACTCAGCCTATGAAACCCACTTTCACTGATGCCTTCAATGTTTTATCCTTTTCTCCTGGCTCTAATAATATCATGAGAGCTGTACAAACTATGTACTGTATAGAAATTAAAATTCTGTAGTATGATTTTGCAGGTATAGGTACCTCTATTTTTGTTTGAAAAGTGACTTTTTCCCATGTGTGGTCTCCTTAAACTAGTTTTGTCAAGTCATTTAAATGTATCTCAGGTTTTTGCCAAATTTGAGAGGAAGTGAAGGATTTTCAGGTTTCTCTACTTTATAATCAAAGTTTATTTTCCAGGTTGTAGTGAACTGAATTATACTGGTAAATAATTTTCTTTTCATAATTTATAGCAGATCTTTCAGTAGATATGCTTCAAAATATACTCCATCACACAAGGAACAATTCAAATTGGGTCGTTCTATGGAAAGCCATGGTTGTTTTGTGGAAAGATTGGACTAGGACTTAAAGGTTGGGAAGGAGTTCAAGAATTTGGATTGGGATTTTTAGGGTTCTCAAAATTTTTTGGAATTATATATATATATATATATATATATATAATAGTTTGATATATATTGTATATGAAGTTTTATGCCATAGTTAACATTTGCTTTGATTTGTAAATTAAAGATATTTTGTACAGTCGACCAAAAAGGTATTGGCCTCTTCCAAAGTGAAGCATTGACTTTCTCTGAAAGAAGAGTTGCATTTTCAACTAATTAAGGGAAGTTGGTAACCTTGTATATTTATTTTTAGGAGCTGTCATGAACAAACGTGTCTGGGATGCTCGTACATTACTGTACAAGTGATTTTTGGATGAATATACATATACAGCTCCTCCCCGACTTGCGACCTACTCGACTTATGACCTGCCTCAGTCGTACCAAAATTGTCAAATTACGTATTTTCGAGTCCCAACATCAGTACACATAAATTTTTTTCGTTTGTAATTCACTTTAAAATGGCTGGCAAGCTTAAAAGTGAGAGTTTTGTGGTGCTGAGAAGTAAAAGGGACACCCATTTTAGATTTTCTATGTATTATTTAAGCATTTTCTACTTACGACCTGGATTTGGGTCTAACCCCGTCGTAAGTCGGGGAGGAGTTGTATTACTATTCTTCCCCACCTCAAACTTTTGGCCCTCTTTTTGTGACTTAAAGTTTGATGAGGAGTCTTCTTTCACGTGATTTTGAGAACCCTTTATATGAACAGTTAATGGGAATATATATACAGGCAGTCGTAGAAAAACCCGTCCCCAAAAGTCGTAAGATGCTACAAAACATGTTCAAAATGACAGTTTTTGGTTTAGTGTATACATTATGATTATAAGAAGTTCATTGATGATTTTATGCTTAGGAGAATTATAGTGCTTGAATCTTACTGAGAAACTGCACATCTACAGTAGTTTTAATGCAGTGCGAGACTGCGAGGCTGGTCCAAGACATTTGGTTTTAAGTCCACTCTGTGCATATATGCAATTGGAGATGTTTTGCTTACACTGGATTTGATTTTGGATAAGGATATATCTGATAAAGACATGCTAAATTTATATTTTCTGCTGATATCTGATCATACTGAGAATAACAGCGCTCCTAATCAAACTTACTACCGGTACTATATTGCTCAGTGATCCTGTGAGCTATGATAACTAGAGC